AACACCCAAGTTCATTAACACCTACATGTTATGAGCCTGCTAGCGTTCCACTGGATTGTCTAGAAAAGTATGTGGTCGTCATCTAAATTCCGCTAGATGACTGGATCAAAACAACAACGAGGCCTCTCATCTGTTTATTACACACCGACTATCTACCCATGTTCTACCCAACATATTAGTAGATAAAAACATACATTTTTATACATATTTTCAAAACCTGTATAGCATGCTTGATCAATACATTTTCCATATAACAGATAAGGTACACACACACATAACACGTATTTCGTATAGAAATAATCAGATCTGTAAGATAGAAGAAAGTGAATATACATTCATACACATAACAACAAAATATACACATAACACGTATCTCGTATAAAATACTTCATAGTTATACGTTATGAGAAAGTAACAACGCATTCACACGTATAAACGACAATAAACTTAATACACTCGAACCATAATTGTATTATTATTGCGTTTATGAAAGGTAGTATACACTCACTTGATCAGAAGATGATCGGACAGCACTACGACTTGCAGAAGTCGTAATCCACAGCAGATCTGGAAGATCTCCACAAAAATCGAACTTCTCGCGGGCAGAGCTTCGGCTCGGAAACCGCACTTCTCGGGATCTTCGGGATCTCGGGACTCGCTTCGGGACTCGGGAATATTACCGGGGCTTCGGGGTATTTCTGGCACGCAAAACGATGCAAAACGGGAGAGAGAAGAGAAGAAATTGGCAAAAGACTCGGCTGCCTTCGGATCCTTTTTATAGAGGCTGGAAGCCCGAGTTACGCGGGGCGTAATTAATGTACGCGGGGCGTACGCAACGTCATTGCATGCGTATGTGTTCGAGTGACGTCATTGCATGCGTAGCTGAGGCGGTTCACGGGTACGCTGGGCGTACCCCAAATTACGCGGGGCGTACGCTATTAAGCAAACTTTAAACTTGCGTAACTTTTGCACACGAGCTCCGTTTTCGACGTTCTTTATATCCACGCGAAGGTGAGACCACGCTCTACAACTTTCGTTTAGACTCCGTCAGCTAATTTTGAATTTATTTTTATTATTTATTTTTAATAGGCTGGGACAGAAATTTTCGTTATAAATTCATAACTTTTTCGTTGGACGTCCGTTCTCGCCTAACTTTTTATCACTTTGATACTAACAACGAGGTCTTCAATTCTCGTTTAGATCACTAAGGCTAAATATCGCTCTAACATAAATTTCACTTTTTACGTCATTCAGCAGTGTCGGTTCTGTCGCGAAACTTCGACAGGTCATAACTTACTCGTTATAACTCGGATTTCGGCATTCTTTATATCTTCGGAAACCTTGTTTCAACTACTACAACATTATCTAAAGATATCAAGTTTATTATATACTTAAATTTTGACACTTATTTTTATTCTTAATTAATCAAACCACATAATTAAGCAATTAAGCACAAAACACATAATACTCAAATAATACAATCTTATTATTTCAAAACGGGTTACAAAGGTTAACCTAGACTATCACATTGCTAAAAATGGTTAGCCCAGAAACACAGGCGTTACAAATTGATTGTATAATATATATATATATATATATATATATATATATATATATATATATATATATATATATATATATATATATATATATATATATATATATATATATATGGCTATGTTTATTTTATTTCATAATCATATTTATTTTATTGGCTTATAAACTTTTAGATTCACATATTTATCAACATTTAATTCATGATATATTTTTCACTATAATGATTATTTGTTTCTTAAAGTATATTTTTTAATTGCTTATTTGTTTTTTATTTTTAGTGTTAAGTAATTGCGTTATCACTATAAACTAACTTTAAAAAACGTAACTTTAAAAGAAATATTTATTATGGACTCGTGTCTCAACATTTGGTTTATCGTGACTTTGAACCAAAATGGAAGGTTTTATTATGAAGTTTGATTTCAGCCCCTCACTTTTATTATATGTGTTCCGCCATTGTGTCCAAATATACCGATATATGAGATTATACATGTAAATTAGCTATGAATGTATTGTATTAAATTTTGAATTTTGTGTATTAAGATGTGAATTTTAATCTTTGTGTATTAAACGTATAAATGTAATTTTTAATTTGATAATATGGCTATGAATATATAATTTTTGTGTAGCATCCGGTTTACCAGTTATATTGTTTTAATTATTTAATTTAAGGATTTTAGAGGGATTCGATGAGTTGGTACCTCCACTCGTCGAGTATGGTCGTGACTTGGTGATGAGGATAATGAATGGACTCCACGAATCCGGGAGATGACTCGTCGAGTCAGCGTTGTTGGCAGAAACCCTAATTCTTTCGAGCCTGGGCCCATTTAAAGGCACTTAAGGTCTCCTTTTCCAGCTACCCTTCAGAGGAGAGAACCCTAAATGAGTCCTGAGTGCTTTCGGCAAGAGAGAGAGAGAGAGAGAGAGAGAGAGAGAGAGAGAGCCCTGTTGAGCTTCTTGGTGGGTATCTTGCAATGAAGAGGAAGGTTTCAAGCCAAAGGGGCCAAAGAAGGTTGTAGATCCGCGATTTGCAATCAAGGAGCATCAGTTGGAGGTATCAATTCAGACCCCATTCTTCCCTAATTGAGTAGATATTTCTTTTGTGGATTAGGGCTTGTATTACTTTCTTAGTGGGGTTTTGAATGCATCAAACCCCTCTTATGAGCTGGGAGCATAGATCTGGACCTTGGAGGGTCCAGAGAGTCCGAAAGTGGGAAGCCATGGTGGAGCAACCATTGGGCTTTGAAGCTAGGAACCATTAATGGAGTTTTTATTGTTTTTAATGCAAAATACACCATGCATGGACATCAAGATTGGAACTTTACGCGATGTTTGGGTAGTAGGAAGTTAGATCTATAAGTTAGAGCTACAGATCTGACCTCAGGTGGTTGAATGAGTAATCCAATAGAGCCAACTAGACGAGTCCATGGGATGACTCGACGAGTTGTAGCGGGTGTGACCCAGTAGTCATGGCCAGTGTTAATTCATTGAGTTGGCAGTCAACTCAATGAGCCGAGCGAACCCTAGGAATATCATGGAGAATTCGAGGGGACATGGTGAGTCATAGGTGTGCACTCGGTGAGTCAGGTAAACATGGAATGTCAACCCACGTTGACTTCTGTAGACTTCATGAGTGCACCATTAAGGGGGCAGGTGGGGTAAAGGAGGGGTAAAATGGTCTTTTACCCATCCTGAGGATCAAAAGAGGAAAAAAGGACTTAAGTTATAAAGAGTAGTAATTCGGATAATGATTGAGATGCTTGTCTTATGTGTTAGGCGGAGGCTAGTCCAAGATTTCCGAGTGCTTGTCGGTTACATGCGAACCTAGGTGAGTCTTCTCACTATACCTTACTTAGAGTGGTATTTATGTGTGATTGAAAGGTCTTATGTTCTTACTTGAGTTATGCATCTTGTCTATGTGATATTATGCTATGAGTTATTTAGAACGGACCGGAAGGTCCAATGATTTATGAGACCGGAAGGCTCAACGAGACCGGACCAGAGGGTCCAACGAGCTAGACCAGACCTAAGGGTCCAACGAGCTGTAGGAACGGAAGGTCATTTGTAGCACCTGGTTCTTGGTACATATTATGTTATTAAATCTTTAATTATATTTCATTTTTGGTCTTGGACTCGGCGAGTTGAAGGACCAACTAGCCGAGTAGAAGCGGGATGAGGTGCGGAGTTTAAGTCATGGACTCGTCAAGTAGGGTCCCGGACTCGGCGAGTAGCTACCGTCTGGACTAAAACCCTAATCCATGGGTTTGCACCCTATTTAAACAACCTTATGCAACCTCCATTCCCCCTTTATGCTCCCAAACACTTCTCATTGGAACTTGAATTAACTAAAAATTCTTTTTTTTTAAATATTATTTTCGGAACTTGAATTAACTAAAAAAAATAAAAAAAAAATCTTGTTTTTTTTTTTTTCTAAAATACGTGAAATATTCTAATAAAATATTAGACTGTACATATTCTAAAAACTAATTTTAAAATGCAAAATAAATGAAAAAATCCAAAAAAAAAAAAACATTTTAAATATTATTTTCGGAACTTGAAATAACTAAAAAACTAAAATAAAAATTAAAAAATTAAAAAAATGCGTCTCACAGTCTTACAAAATTATATCGTCTCACATTAACCTAACTCTATATACAAGGGCAGATTTAGAGGGGGTCACCGGTGACACCAGCAACCCCTAACTTTTCCCGGCATAGTGGAAAATTTTTCGAAAATTTTTAAAATTTTTATTTTTATTACTATCGTGTAACACCTAATTTTCCCGTGCACCCCCTACTGAAAAATCCTGCATCCGTTGCTGTTTATATATATATATATATATATATATATATATATATATATATATATATATATATATATATATATATATATATATATATATATATATATATATATATATGGAAAAAGTGAATATATATCCTTAAGGCTATATAAGTTTAGGTACCCAAAATCACCATAATACGTCATTTTGTTTGATATATTTATTATAATGTTCTTCAACTTTAATCCTTAACTTGATTTACTTTCAAGATTTTCAAATTTTCATTATTATCTTCCTCTTACATCACATCTTTTTGACGAACATCAATTAACCTATATATATTGTAGTTGAAAATGAAAATTATGTAAGAGGAAAATAAATGTGAAATTTATAAAAATCTTTGAATGAAATCAAGTTAAAAGTTGAATTATAAGAACATTAGACAATTACAATGTATATATGATACAAAATAACGTAGTATTGTGAGTTTGGGTACTTAAACTTATATACTTTAAAGGTATATTCACTTTTCCATATATATATATATATATATATATATATATATATATATATATATATATATATATATATATATATATATATCCACACTCACTGCTTTGCTTCTCCATATTTCTTTTTCGTTTATAGAGGTCATTTCCTTCACATGTACTTGAGATACATGATGAAGCCTCTTACTTTGATCAAACTGTCATACTTTTCAACGTCACTCATTACTTTCTTGTTCACTATTCTTTGTTTCGGTGATAATGGTAGAGCACGGGTGACATTGCCGGAAAATGCTACTATACCTGCAGTTATAGTGTTTGGGGACTCAATTATAGATCAAGGAAATAACAATAACTTAAACACTTTGACTAAAGCCAATTTTTCTCCTTACGGAAAGGATTTTGTCGCCGGAAAATCAACCGGAAGATTTTCTAATAATAGGACACCGGCCGATATGTTTGGTAAAGCCTTGTTTTTTTTTTTATGACTCAATATTATTTTGATGCATTTCTCTATTGAATATACTTGTTGTAGTTTTGGTGAAACCTTGTTTTTGTGATAAACCCAACTTTTTCGCCATGTCAGTCTATATAGACTCCAACTTCTGCTTTTGTTTTTTTGAATATCATGTTTGTAAATTTTAGAAACTGATAACTGCTTTAGACGTGATATCAAGTTTTTCATGTCGCACATAAACGAACATATATCTTTATATCACCTACACATTAATGAGTATCCCAGTTAATTTTTTGCGAAAGGAATCTTTAAATCCTATGTTTACGTATTCGTGAATTAGTTTAGAAGATGATTTATATTGATTAATTATACTTCGATCTTTATATTTCATGTAGCTTTTTTGACATAGTTCAGTGGTTTAAGTGAACAAAATCTCTTTCGTGCATCATCGAACATAGTTTAGGTATTACGATCAATAAATTGATCATTAGAAAAAAAAAATACATATTACAAGTATGAATTTCAAAACTAAATCATAAAGTTAACGCGTTGAAGTTGTGACTTCTAACACATTGTGGCTCTTTAATTTTGATTCCGACCAAACTATCTGGAATAATCCATAATAAATGTTCATGAGGAATAGATAATTATAGATTCATAGATTACAAATTTAATCCATTTTGTGTAGTTACATGTGAAGGGAGTCAATTCTCTCACTCCTTCAACCCATTTGTTATAACATTTTTACCAAAAGGACCTTTAACCTATAATAATGATAGATCATGAGTTCGTGTCTTTTAGCTGATATAGATGGTATTTAGAAATAGTTTATGTAGTTTGCCGTTTTAAAAATAAACATCATTTTGTGATTTATCACACTTTTACCTTTCCCATACCACAATAAATAAAAACTCTTCATTTTTATTTTTTTCTAATACACTCAACTTTTTATTTTAAAATAAATACAAACTATATAAAATCATACAAAACTAATTAACAAAATTTTAAAAACAAAACTAATTAACAAACTAATTAAAACCACATAAAATTATTTTGGTAGAAATATTTATGCATGAAGTACAACTACCTAAAACTTGAGAGATAAAGGGTCAAGTGGTTTACTGAAGCCGATCACCACTACCATTCTTAACCCACAAGAAGGCAGAACCGTGAGCTTGGAGGTACCAATTGTAATCTCAATTTTACCTCGACACCATCCACCCTTACAATGCGATAGTTATTTATTGATAAAATAAAATAAGTACATATAAATGTCATAAAAAACACTAAGTTTTCAGTTTATTTTTACGATTTTAACACATTTTTTATTCAAATTTGAACATTGGGCTTTTTATTTTTTTCAATTTTGACAATTTTTCCAATCACCCGGTTATCGGCTGACGTGATATGTTGATGTGATACCGATATTGCATGATGATCTGTCTTATCAAATAACACTCTAGGTGTTAAAATTAGAAAAAGGAGTAAACTATAGTGACTTTTGTAAAAATTATAATTAATGGAGTTTCAAAATTGAAAAAAAATAAGAACATAGTAACTCTCGTGACATTTACCCGTAGAAAAACTATAATCATTAATGATAAAGAATGAGATAAATTCTTTATATTGGAATGCAGTTGATAATCTCATGACGTGTTACTTTGAAGATGAGATTATTGAATGAAACATAACTACCAAAATACACTCCAAAGACTTAATTAGCTCTAGGAAGCATTATCACAAGTCATCTTTCATGTCAATGTGAGTCATATTCCCTTCGTGACTAACCATCCATTGGGAGTGTTGAAATATCGCACCGGAAGCCTCTTGTTCGAGTTGCGTTTATAAGGACATCCCAACACACATTTGTTGGGTTTTTATTTATTAAACTAGTTTCAAAAACATAAGATTTAGCAACGGAAGACTTTAAAATTAGAATAAACATAAACGAAGTTTATACCCACAAATGATCAACTTGCAAAGTTTGGAAAGAAAACAAGCACCAAAGAGGAAGAAGTGTTTAACAACCTTTGTAGATTTTGAATCCACAAGGGAATGTTTGAAAGTTGATGGAAAATATGGAACCTTTGAGACGACAATAGCTAGTCAACTTGATGTAGATGCTAGTCTAAAACTCTTAACTTTTAAGCTTAAAGTTCATAACAAAGGTATGAACTTCAAGAAAGTATAAAAGCAACTAATATCTTCATAAGATGATCAAAAGTGAAAGAGAAACCTTTGTATCATGCATGTTATGGTTTTGAGGGGAGAAAAGAAGAACACCTAAGTGAAAGCTTTTCTCACACATACACACACGCATATATATATATATATATATATATATATATATATATATATATATATATATATATATATATATATAAAACATGCACAATACTCATGATTCTTATTATTTTTCTTTAACTAAGTGAAAAACCCATACTTCTTAAGACAAATCATACTCTTATTTAAATAATTAAAAAGACATATTTTTATTTAAATAACCAAAAGTCATACTCTTATTTTAATAATCAAAACGTCAAACTCTTATTTAAATAATAAAAAATTCTTATTCTTCCTTTTTTACTATTATTTTGTAAAATAGTAAAATGAAGAATGAAAAAACTTTATATTTTATAAACCTAGTTTATAAAGTATAAACTTTAACTTTTTGGTAAAAGATAAAATCATTTGTCTAATTCAAAATATTATGCATGATTTAATAATTCATACCATATGAATTAAGTAATGTTATTTGTTAATAAAAGTTATTATTTCCATGAAATTAATAATTTTAAATTTAATTATAAGATTTTAATAGTTATTAAAATCAAATTCGAATAAATAATCAATTATATCAAGTTGTTGTTAGTATGAACCATTTGTATCACTTGTTAATTAAGAATATCAAATTAATATAATGCTTAAGCATACTAAATCTTTCATCTCCCACTTGCGCACGATTCATATTAGACCGATATAGACAATGGTGAACGTTTAGCAACATTTCACTACCCCCATCAACATATGACTCTATGTCATTCTATCAACGCCTAATTCCCAAAAAGTTCCAAGCTATAATTCGTGTATATGTTAAATTTATCAGTTATCCTTTTGTTACATACATCGTGTTAAACATGAAATACAGATCACAATCAATCTCATATGGTGTTCAACTTTTTGTAAGGCGTTCTTAGATGTCTAACTCTCAACACATAAGAGGAACAAATCCCATGTTGACTACATAAGCCTCTTGTATAGTTCATACCATACCTGAAAATGGATTTTATAAATGTTCGGTAAAGGACCAGTGTTTGACCATATCTAAGCACAACACTCTATACACTTAAGTCTCACTATGTATCTAAGGTGTTAAGGATACAAATACATTACCTTTTAATCGAGTATCATTTATAATAGTGATCCATGAGATGATGTTGATGTTGGTCAAGTCACTACTAGCTCTCTTACAAGTACCTATGAAACTTAGTTACAACCCATTGCCTACTTTCATCCGTTGAAAGTCAACCAATCCAATTCACATTCGTCTAATTTCGTAATTGCTCCCATAATTGTAACTGACTATGAACCTATAGAATAATAAGATTATTCATGGATTAAACATGTTAATATAGAACACAACAAGTATTGATGCTATGATCATATCCCGGTATATCAAAACATCAAATAATAGTTGTTGTTAGAATATTCCAATATCCGAATACTAAATTCGAATCAAAATCCCATTTCTAGAATAATAAAGTATTATGGGTGAAGTCTGACTATTCATACTTATCTTAAAAGAAGGACTTTATTAACGGGTTCGAATAAACTTAATTTGTGTTAATTCTATGAACAATGTTATCTCTATATTTGACCTTACTCTAGGTATAGTAAAATATCTTGGAGTAAATGATTGGTTCTCTTTCGTGACATAGAGTCTCTTAGCTCGATTAAGTATAGTCACAAAGTCATAAAGATTTCTATGTGATCCTTGAATAGCATAAATCAATATAGTTTTTCAATTAACTTGTTCATCTAATCATATTAGATTTCAACTTATACAGTAGTGTATTCATATTTTGTAGTAGATTACGTCATTTTGTTTTGTTTCGACCTCATTCCAACTAAACTTACTCTTTATCCCACAATAAAGTCAATCAAATTATATATGTAGAAAAAAAACTTCTTACCTTCCTACCAAAAATTTCCTTCTTATTTGACCTTGACTCTCTCTCTCTCTCTCTCTCTATATATATATATATATATATATATATATATATATATATATATATATATATATATATATATATATATATGCTTTATCTATTTCAAGATATTGTCAATATATTCAAAAAGGATTTAAAACTTTTAACAGTCATTTTATCTATCTTTATAGATTTTACATTCCAAGAATGTATCTTGTCCTTCCTAAGTCTTTCATTTTAGAAACACATTCCGAGTCAAGGTGAAAAGACCTAGCATGGTCAGAATGTAATTTCTTATGATTATGTATGTCTCATTCATACAAGATTAGGAATGTCACTATACTCCCACTAGTTTTTTTTTGTAAACACATATGTTCTATTCATCTTGATATAAAAACATACCTTGTGGTTTCATATTAAAATGATGATTACAACATTGAGATGTTTACTTTATTTCCACAAGTATATCTCAAGCTCTACACATTCTGTTAGGATAACATGGATTAAGAAAACCCCCAACCTAATCTATATAGATATCTTCTAGTAGATGTCTCTTAAGAAAACCAGTCTTTCTTGAAAATCTATTTGCTATAGTTCTTATTGAGAATATGAATTTATAGTAAACATTATCCTTATTGATCTAATCAAAGCTACTTGTGAAAAAGGTTTGGTCATCGTCAATGTCATGAGTATGATAAATTTTTTTTATTATAAGTCTTGCTTTAAATGTGTTTTTTCTAGAACAATCACCTACTCCTTTTAGCCTTTCTATAGATAGAAAGTTCAATTAATACCACACTGGATTATCATTACATCTCATGTTCATGACTTTATGTCATTAATCAGATACAAGATCTGACATAACAACTTAGTATTTGATGGATTTGCAAGATACCATCAATCAAAACTCATTAAAAAGAGATTCCACATTTCTCAAGTCATAGATGATTTCTACCACTAATGCGAACAATTTATGTTTGTGAATAGCTATTATTCAAGTTTAACAATCGTTGTTAAATCTAGTGCCAAAAATAACTACATCAGGTTATGGTTCTTGAGTTACTTCAACTTCCATGTACCTCCCACTCGCTTTGTCATTAAAAGCTTGCTTTCTGCTAACTCAGCTATCAGAGGAATAATAGAACTTATTCTTGATGGGTTTACACACAATAATCTAAGGCACAGTTAGAGCATTATACAAATATGCATTTAGTAGATTTTGGGTTTAAAAGATTTAGTCCAACATAGGCTTTAAATCAATAAAACATTTAAGTAAGATAAGGATGGAGCCTCTCCATATAGAATCTTATGAAGAAAATGTTATATCTACTAGTTAGTTGGTTTTTGCATTCAAGGTATAATTGATAGTGTTGTAGGTGTTATCCCAAGGAAATAAAATGATGAAATTTCTACAGATTAGAAAGACATTCATTCCAAGTAATATTAAATTAATCCTTTATATCATTAAGGCATTAAATGGTTCTTACCGGTTTGTATCTCAAATTTATATTTGAAAGCTTCAACAAAGATTTCACAATTATGTTTTAGCATGTAAAATATGATTTATAATTATATAGATCTTAATAAAGTTGAGTTGGTAACTTGTCTTAGACATTCAGTAGAAAGGAGGTCATGTATCACAGTGTGTGGTTCCTTAATAATTTATTTTCTCTACTACTTAGTGAAAATATCATTAGGAATCTTTTATATATAAATAAGATTTACATATGTAAAATAAACAACATTATTTGCCTTCAAATATCCCTTTGTTGAAGTTAGAATATGTGAATGTCATTTATATAATAAATATAACATGGTCAAAGATGATTTTGATTTAAAACAAGTTTAAGTCAAAAGTATTTTTCATATAGAACTTGTTATTTATAAAGC